ACCTTGTAAAGCATATGGGATAAACAGCTTCATATAACCAACATGCTTAAGTTTAATTAATACATAAGGGCTTACTTATATCCATTTTCTCTCACCTTGGTAATCAAGACCTTGTTCTCCTTCAGTCTACCTGAGAATCTCAGGCTCCAACTGAGACCACATGGCTTTCACCAGCCTCTCTTGAGTTCCTATACTAATAATCTATGAACTTTCACCACTTTGTAATTAAGCCGTGCTTAATTCTGAAGCACAGAAACCTGACCTATTAAGAGTTTGTAAGGAAACAATTTTTTTAACTTACCCAACATGTGGTCTTTTTCTATGCTACGGGAAAAGTGAAACTTTGGAAAGAAACTTTTGAAGGGCACATTTTGGAACTTACTTGGAGGAGCATATTTTAGATGTCTAACAGCCTATATTTACACACTTTACTTTACAGCATATTTTGTGACTTTAAATCTCTGCTGGGGTTCTCTCACTGAACAGTACTTGCCTCAAACATGGATCTTGGCATCCAGGAATCCTTCCTTCCTTCCTTCCTTCCTTCCTTCCTTCCTTCTGCCAACAGAGTAAGGTGAGAAACTGATCCCAAATTTTTTTGTTCAAGGAATGACTTTTCTTCAAGCAGGTTCCATCCTCTGTTCTCTTCAGCAGCATGGAAAATTTCATCAACTTCCCTTCCCTATAAACTGCTATGCAAGTGCTCTCTGGTGTTTATGAACACTATTTCCCTAATTTCTTATTTATTTATATTGTCACATATAGTAGAAGCAGAGTGAACAGCCATATCCTCCAACATTTTTCCAATAGAAATAGGGACATCCTAAGGAAAAGTGGGACATTCCAGGATCAAATCAGAAACCAGGATGGCTTCTCTAAATCAGGGACATCCCTGGAAAATAGGGACACTTAGAGGGTCTGTAAAAGTATAACGTATAAAGGTGAAAAATTGACTTTTAGTGTGTGCAGTAACAGAATTAGGTACCTAAAAGAGACTGAACCAATTCAGAGGCTCTGCAACCCTGCACACAGGGTGTCTATGAACACAGCCACACGGGGGAAGTAACATTCAAATCAGTGCAAACATGTTGACCACTGGAGCTTCCTAGCACTGTTGCTGATCGTAATTCTGATCACGCCAAAACAGATGTTGCTTCCTCTCTGTGGCTGTGTCCATAGGGGCTTTCTGCACAGAGTATTTTAAATAATAGGAACTAGCCCATCAATATGCACATAATGTATGGGCCCTTAAGCCGTGAGAGGCTGTCAAAAAGACAGGTAAGGTTAAGAATTCTGATGGCGCAGACTTCGGCTGAGTTCCGATTTGCTACAGTTCTGGAAAGGGACTGTTTGTGAGTAAATGGAACTGCAACACAGAGGCTGTTGATGCAGCCACCGCAATTTGAGTTATCACTGATTGCAACAGCTTGAAAAAGAGCCACCTGTGATCACATCTCTGACAAGTAGGGAGGTGTCAGCATTTGCTTCATTTAGGTGACAAGTGTAAGCCTTTTTATTCCCCAGGACTGTTAATGGATAGCGTGTCACATTGATGCCAGCTGTCTGAGTTGTTTTTCTCTATGTTAAAGCTACTACCAGCTTCTGTTGTTAGTTTTGATTTTATGAGAAGGCAGGCTTTCATGAACATTTCTTCCAGTGTTGTGTTTTTATATATTGCTTGACTAGTGAGCTGCTTTGCATTAGACCAAAGATAGGTGGCATATAAATATTTAAGCGAATGAATTAGGAAATAATGTAAATCAGGCTTCCCTAACATGGTGCCACCCAGATGTCTTGCATGATCAGTGACTAGTGGTGCTGAGCTTTATAGCCCTAAATGGCTTTGGTCCTGTATACCTGAAGGAACGTCTCCACCCTCATTGTTCAGCCCGGACACTGAGGTCCATCCAAGAACCTTCTAGTGGTTCCCTCATTGCAAGAAGTTACAGGGAACCAGGCAGAGGGCCTTCTCAGTTGTGGCGCCCACCCTGTGGAACGCCCTCCCATCAGATGTCAAGGATATAAACCACTATCTTAGAAGACATCTGAAGGCTGTTTAGGGTAGTTTTTATGTCTGATGGTTCGTTTTGTTTCTTATATTCTCTTGGAAGCTGCTCAGATGGGTGGGGTATAAGTAATAAATTAGTATTATTATTATTATTATTAGAGTTGTAATCCAAAATATCTGGAGGGCAGCAGGTACTGATAATGGCAACTCCATGTTACTGCTGCTGTGCCACTAGTCTCACACAAGGGACACTAATGTGTCATGCCAAATAGGTACAGTTAGACAGCATATATATCTGAGGGTCCTATATCCACTGAAATCAATGCAGTTTTGCTTTCCCCACCCCCCAGAAATATTTGTAATAAACGTTCAGAACCTGGTACAGCTGAACCAGGTGCAGAGTTTGTATACTTCAGGATATACCAAAGCAAACGCAAGATCTATCTGCAGAACCTAGTTTGTGGTCATGAAGACACATTTTTCATTGATGTAGCACTTCCCTAAAATAGTTTATATGCAGCAAATAAATACAGCAGCATTAAAGGGAAAAAGTGCATCAATTTGTTCTCAGAGGTAAAAATCATTCCCCAAGGTAAAATGACATTAAACAACAACAAAAAGGCTGGATTCTTAAGGATGTCAATCATATTTTTTTTTAAAAAATGGGACAATATTATTATTTTCTTTTTATTTTAACATAAGCTTTGATCCTCAAATTGATCAAACATTTATTTGATGAGGATTGCAGTTGGTACTTGTACTCATTGTACTCCCTTAACTTATTTTCCTGTTCTTCATATTGTAGTCCTCAAGGATCTTCCCCCATCCCTATTCTTATTTAGACTTTGCAAAGAAAGGTGTTAATTACTTCATCTGAAATTCTGTTTTGTTAATCAACCTCTTCTTTCATGTTTCATGAACACAGATTCAAAGAATAAACAACCCCTAGATGTTCTTCATCCTGCTGTCCAAAAGTAGCAATTTTTATTAAAGATGTTTCTCAGTTTTTGATGCATTGCAGCAAGGCAGGATGTATTTAATGACATTCAGGATGAGCTGCCTCTCAAAAGCATCTCTCCTCTTATACAGACAGGAGGAAGAGCCAAGCATTTTCAAAGTAAATTCTCATATATATATATATATATCTGTAAAGGTACCCCTGCCCGTACAGGCCAGTCTTGCCAGACTCTAGGGTTGTGCGCTCATCTCACTCTATAGGCCGGGAGCCAGCGCTGTCCGCAGACACTTCCGGGTCACGTGGCCAGCGTGACAAGCTGCATCTGGTGAGCCAGCGCAGCACACAGAATGCCGTTTACCTTCCCGCTGGTAAGCGGTCCCTATTTATCTACTTGCACCCAGGGGTGCTTTCGAACTGCTAGGTTGGCAGGCGCTGGGACCGAACGACGGGAGCGCACCCCACCGCGGGGATTCAAACCACCGACCATGCGATCAGCAAGTCCTAGGCGCTGAGGTTTTACCTACAGCGCCACCCGCGTCCCACTATATATATAATTTTTATTTCATAGGTTTGATTTGGACAAGCAAAAATCCTCTTTTTGTTAAAACCATTCACAGTTTGAAATATTTAAAGAGTGTGTTCGCATCAGCATCATAATGGAATGGTACCATCAGGCAGGACTTTGGGGAAAGAAATTCAGGGCCCCAACTCAGCAGAAGAGGCAAGAAGGCTCACAAGTGCAGCAGTACAGACTTGCACATTTTGAAGCAAGATACATCATCTAGAGCAGACACCCCCAACTTGGTCCTCCAGATGTTTTGGGACTACAACTCCCATCATCCCTAGCTAACAGGACCAGTGGTCAGGGATGATGGGAATTGTAGTCCCAAAACATCTGGAGGGTCGAGTTTGGGGATGCCTGATCTAGAGAGATCACCCCCTTACAAAAAACTGTTAAGTCTAGGGATGGCCTAATTGAATCATTGATTTAGTGTGTGTGTGTGTTTTCATAGAATCCTAGAATATGGAGTTTGAAGGTCCATGAGGGTCATGACATGAAATTTATTATGGTCAGAGACCAGCTTGAGAAACACAAATGGAACCACAATCCCAATAGCAAAACAAACATTTAAAACAATATACAACAATGGATTTTAAGATTAAAAATGTGATAGGCATATAAACACATAAAAACTTTAAGATAGACTTTTTGTTGTTTAGTCATTTAGTTGTGTCTGACTCTTCGTGACTCCATGGACCAGAGCCCGCCAGGCACTCCTGTCTTCCACTGCCTCCCACAGTTTGGTCAAACTCATGCTGGTAGCTTCACGAACACTGTCCAACCATCTCGTCCTCTGTTGTCCCCTTCTCCTTGTGCCCTCCATCTTTCCCAACATCAGGGTCTTTTCCAGGGAGTCTTCTCTTCTCATGAGGTGGCCAAAGTACTGGAGCCTCAGCTTCACGATCTGTCCTTCCAGTGAGCACTCAGGGCTGATTTCCTTAAGAATGGATTGATTTGATCTTCTTGCAGTCCATGGGACTCTCAAGAGTCTCCTCCAGCACCATAATTCAAAAGCATCAATTCTTCGGCGATCATACTTCTTTATGGTCAGCTCTCACTTCCATACATCACTACCGGGAAAACCATAGCTTTAACTATATGGACCTTTGTTGGCAAGGTGATGTCTCTGCTTTTTAAGATGCTGTCTAGGTTTGTTATTGCTTTTCTCCCAAGAAGCAGGCACCTTTTCATTTTGTGACTGCTGTCACCATCTGCAGTGATCATGGAGCCCAAGAAAGTAAAATCTCTCACTGGGAATTTTCTTAACAAACTAGATTTAATCGGGGGATAGTTTGCGCCTACAGATCTGTGTGCAGAATCTGGCAATAATCCGGGTCGTTTTGTGGTCTTTGCCTAACAGGAGAAGATTGAACTTTTGCTCTACCGGGAGGTCAGCAAGCCTCACCAGCAGGGGGTCAATGCTTTCTCTATCATGAGGGTCATTTAGTGCAATCCCCTGCAATGCAGGAATCTTTTGCCCAGCATGGGACTCAAACCCATGACTCTGAGATTAAGTCTCTCATGCTCTACTGACTGAGCTATTTTGACTGCACCCTTCTTGATTCCACACTTACAGCTGCTTCCTCCTCCTCCTCCTCCTCCTCTTCCTCCTCCTCCTCTTCTTCTTCTTCACTAGTAATACTCTTATGACTAGTGCTATTTATCTAGAAGAAGAGGTGCCAGAACTCACCATGAACACCTCCCTTGTTCTCTTATAATGACAATGGCACCCACCCGAAGGGTACCAGAACTGAGTTCCAGTGAGTTCCAGATTGAAAAAAGCCCTGCCTATGACTTATGACAGCTTCCTGGGTCATTCCAGTTAGTCTGAAGCTAATCCATGGAGGGACTGTAGTACTATAGAGCTGGCTGTCTCTGATCTCTTCCATGAGCAAAGCTAGGGAGACAAGATAACACTCTGGTCAGGGTGATGTGCACTCCACATGCTCAAATTATTGAGCCACAAATAATCTGTCCTCAGCTTCTGATACATGGGGAAGATCCTGCAAAGTGCTCAGTTGGCTGTAGCGGAGGAAGCCTGATACACTTAGTCTTGCATGCATAATAGGGACATGTGAATTCAGGACTGGGGCACCCACTCCATTTAAGCAAAGGAACTTGTTCTTTACAGGACCAGTTGCCTGAAATGTGATGCTCCCCATGTACCTTGGCAAACAAAGTCCTGTCAAAGAAACTGCAGGGCAAAGCTGTGGGGCTATTTAGTTTGCTGGATGAAAACGGCAGAGTGACACAATGGCAATGAATATTCTGACATTGCTCTGACTTATTGGTAGAAGGTAGTTTAACAAGCTCTTTAGGACACCAGTTTCACCAGTGTGCCTTAAGTGCCTTGGCCAATTATCCAGAGGTGCTGCTTCTGAACATCACTTTTAAATCTTTCTCTCCCCTCCCCCCCACTCCCTACTTTGCTGCTAACGTGGCTAATTCGAAACGACAGTAAAGTGCACTTTAGTGGCAAATGGGGTATTGTGGATTTTTTTATGACATCTGAAAGGTATGAAAGGGAAAATGGCTTCTGTGGGTGTCCAGCTAAATGGACAGTATCTGGTTGATTGGTGAGTGCTATAACCTTTTGTATGCTTTCCATTGTATTTCCAACATTTGTCCAAGAACAAAAGCTTGGGGGAAGCTGGAAAGTGAAATGTGTCCTGGAGTTTGGAAAAGAGAGAGTTAGAGAGTTTTCATAGAATTGAGAATTTCCACTAGATTTAGAATGGGCCTGAATGCTTTTCATTGACATTTGGATTTCCACCCTTACACTTTTCCTTAATGAGTGGGACAATTAACATTTTCAAATTTGTAATGAATTAATATATGCAATGTAGTCAATGACCTTTTCTATCTGGGAGAAGGGGGCAGTTCTCAGTGTTAAATACAGATAAAATTTGCACACTGAGTGTGTGGTGTGTCTCAGGCAAGCCTTCTGCGCTTGGCAATCTTAGCTGTGCCACTGGGCATTTCTCTTAAATTGTGCAAATCACTTTGTTTGCGTGCCACACTTCCCCACAACTCTGCTTTCCAGTTCTTAGATCTGGCTGCATTAGTGCTTATATTGAGGTTTTGCTTTTTTCCAACTTGCTGAGGTAGTAGATACTGTTGTCGGCACATCCAGTCCCTGACAGAGTCTAGGAATGGGATGAAGATCAGCTCAGGGTAGAGTGTCTGCCTGACATGAAAAAGATCCCAAGTCCAGTTGGCAGCATCTGCAGATTGGGCAGGGAAAGATCTCTGTCTGAAACTCTGAGAGCCATAGCAAGTCAAAATCGACAATACTGGGCAAGGTGGATCAATGAACTGATTCAGTATAAGGCAGGTTCCTATGTTCCATAAACCCTTGTGGGAAATGGATTCATCCCGCATTGTATCCAAGACATTGGTGCAGGTTAAAGTGGTGCCCCCCCATTCCACATTAGCTACCACATTATCTATAGCAGGGATGTCCAACTCCCAAGAGACAGCAATCTACTCACAGAAAAAAAACTAGCAGTGATCTAACCCTCTTTTTTGGGGGGTGGGAAGGTGGGTTCAGACCAAAGGTGTTGAGCTTTTTTTAGGGAGGAAAGTCCTGGAGGGGGGTGTTCAGGTCAAAGTTGTGGAGCTTTTTTTAGGGAGGAATGTCCCATTATGGAGAGGTAAATGTCGAAATTGAGGAAAGGGAACTCAACAACAGATCGCTAAGGAAACTATCTGCCTCACAGTGAAAACTCCACCTTCCATTTCAGCGATCATGCAAACATGGAGGACAGGGTGAGGGGGCACCACCGGATGCTATTATGCCACCACAAAGGAAAAGGAGCCCGCGATCGACCAGAACCTTGTGGGGATTGACCAGTTGAATACGATCAACCTGTTGGACATCCCTGATCTATAGAAACTAACCAGACTGAATTGTTTTTCAGCACTGGAAGAGGGACAGCGACTTCTACGGCTTTGAAGGTAATAGGCTGGCTTAGGAGGCCAAATGGCCGGCTGTGTGTTCCACACAACTCTTTCCTTTCAACGTCGTTCTGCTGCTCATCACCCCCACCCCCAGCATCTACCACCTGATGTGAATGCTTCACACTCATTATACTGGCTTGCCAAGAGCAGTGCAGTCACAGCAATAGCCCCTTGGTTGCAACATCTTACTGGGAGAGAGTGGGGAGGAGTGAGGAGGGAGCCGATGGAAGTGCCAAATTGGCTCTGAAGGTGCATCCATGCAGCCTCGACCTCACTGCCACCTTGTCCCACCCCCACCCTTCTCTCTCTCTCTCTCTAGGTAAGTGGCAGGCACTCTACTGCCAAGACACCATGGAGGCGGCAGCACCCCACTGGGTGAGCCACTCCTGCTTAATCATAGAACTGGTTGTGGGAGAAGGCTCTGAGTTTTGGAGCCATCGAGGCAGGGGAATGTGGTGGCTGTTCCTCCAGAGCAGATTAGCAAGGCAGCAAATAATAGAAGCGCATTACCTTCTGCCAATGCAGTGTTAGGTGCCACCCCAGTCTCCATGAGTAGTGCAAGATTCAAGGGGCCACAGGCACACATTCCCTTTTGGGAAAATGAGGCACAAAAGAGACTGTGCTGTCTTTATGATATATGCTTTAATTTACACATACAGTGGTACCTCGGGTTAAGTACTTAATTTGTTCCGGAGGTCTGTTCTTAACCTGAAACTGTTCTTAACCTGAAGCACCACTTTAGCTAATGGGGCCTCCAGCTGCCATAACGCCGCCGGAGCACGATTTCTGTTCTCATCCTGAAGCAAAGTTCTTAACCCGAGGTACTATTTCTGGGTTAGCAGAGTCTGTAACCTGAAGCGTATGTAACCCGAGGTACCACTGTATATACAACTTAGATGCAGGGATTGTAGAACATTCACATCCTATGAGGGTCTGGCTTCCCACTTAAGGACAGCATTGGATTCAAAAGACAGCCTTTGTCTCCTGCTAATGGCCCATTCAGTTAGTTCTGCCGAGCTGACTTGGCTCATTAGCACAACTAAATCCAGGGGTTTCTGTGTTTGGCAAAGTTTAAACTTTGCATAATTCTAACTTTTACTAAATCCAAGAATTATGGGGAGGATCTGGCACAAACCCATGACATGTTTAAGGGGACCCACTTCACAAATGCATAACAGTATTGTACTCACTTCTCCATTGCAATCCATGATAACAGATCCCACTAAGAAACCAGAGAGGTTCTACATATCATTCTTATCAAGGAGTATAAAGTTTCAGGGCTCACTGATTTATTATGAACCACAAGTTCTGAATAATGAAATAAGATAAGAAAAGGTTAAAGTACACAAAGTTAATATCTCTAGCCCAGATCCAGTTTTGGTCTTGCCTGTTAAAAAGGATTAGTGCTTCAAGGCAGAGATGTGCACTTCTGACCTCATCAAGAGACCCATCAATTAGGTTCAATAAGATCTGAATGAGATTTGCCCTATGTGTTTCACCTCGAAATATTTCTTTGTCTTTTTCAAATATTTATAAGCAAACAACATAAATACAACAATGCAACATTATAATAAAAACCATGCAAATTCAAAAAGAAAGAAAAAAAGAACCCCACCCCAATGTAATTTATAAATTACATTGTAGAAAGCCATTTCCAAAGCCATCATTATGAAACAGTAATAAAAATAGTGACATGTCTAGTAAAAAAAACCTCACCAAAAGCCATTGGAATGAGTGGGTTTTTAAATCTTTCTTGAATACCACAGCTGGCAGGGGGCAGGGGTGGGGGACAACTTCACAGTGTTACAATTCTCTGAGTGGTTTAACAGTCAATCGCTTTTCACAGGGAACTCTGGGAACTGTAGCTCCATGAGGGGGATAAAGGTTTCCTAACTCTGCAGCTCCCAGAATCCTTTGTGGGATGCCAGGAGTGTTTAAAATGGTATTGTAGTAGACTTCTGGAGTCAGCGCCATCGGTAATGGCGGAATTCCTCTGACTAGGAGGAATTTGCTCTGTGGGAACCGGGTCTGGCCGTCACGGCAAAGGCGGAGACCCTTCAAAAATCACAGGCGGGTGAAGCCTGTGAACGTGGGATTCGGCGGGCACCTTTTGCGCCCCCCCTTACTTGTGAGGAACCCCGATTTGGGGCTCTGAAGCGAAGCGGGGTGTGTGGCGCGGTGCTGTGAATCGACTACTTTTTCCACGGAGCGAAGCCGCACAGCCATTGCTGGAGAGCGCTGACTTTTTCCTGTGGACAATTGGACTCTAAAAGTATCTACCCGTGAGTAGGATAAATCAGAAGATCTTAAAGGGAAAAAAAAAAAGATTTAATTTGGTACCGAAGCGGGGAGGCTTAAACAGGAAGTCCGCCTTCCGGTTTTGTAAATAGATCAAAGCAAAGAGACTGTAAGCTAAAGTCTCGGAGAATCGATTGGAAAAGACTAATTTTTCAATGTTAAAAAGAAAGAATTCCCCCCCCCCTTTGGAAGCAGGAGAAGAGGGGGGAAGTTTAACTATATATACCTGCAAGAGAGAGAGGGAAAGAAGCTAAAATTCCACCGCTCAGAACCTGGGAACGGGCTGCCG